TAAGCACGTGAGAGAGAGTGGGCACCTCCCAGAACATTGTATTGTGCCACTCCCAACAGAAATAACCCAGGTGGATAGCTTCAGCAATCAGGGGCTGCTCAGTTGCTCATACAAAATCCCACCTTGGAGTTTACAAAGACTTAAGGGTAGAAAAGCCACACTAAGTAATTTACTACACCGCACCTTCCTAGTCATAGTCCACCAGCACAATCGTCCAGTCTTTGGTGACCAAAGTTGACCTTTAGGTCAATTCTCAGGTCCCAACTTCACTTGGAAATATTCAGGCTGTTGGTCCCATCAGAGTAGCTGACAGTCTGCAGCTCTAACTGTCTCCGTACTGACTGTTTTCATTCAGGTTTTTCCACTAGCTGGTGCCTGGTTTACTCCTATATACTTCTTTTCAAAGCCCAGGGCTCCAGGATTATCTTCTTTGTCTCTGTCAATTGGTTTCTCTTTTCTTTGTTGAAGAGGGTCTGTGTAGCTTGTCTGCCTATTCCACCATCTTACTGGAAGTCCTTCTGTCTTTGTTCTTGAATAACAAAATATACAAAGCTTTACAAATTTCTTTTTATGGTGCCTTCACTTAAAAGAAACCTGTGGAAATACAATATATGAATACCCTTCCCTCTTTTTTCCCCCCCTAAAATTTCCATTCTAGAACCTTCATCCAAACATATTTGTCCAAATGACTCTCCCATGCAAGAAAGTCTCTCTTGGTCATATTTTTAATTTATAGTTAAAGCTTTCTGATTTAAGTGACTTCATATAAATTTAGTTCATTTAGCCCTATTGATATTTCAGTATAGTTTTAAGAAATTGACACCCTTACACTGAGGTAAATAGCGAATTTAGATTTTGATCCTATTTCTCTACTTTTACACATCACGAAAAAGCACTCTTTGAGAAATAGAATTGTAATGTAATTATGTCTTTTGTTTTGATGAAAGACCAGAAGTATTCACGAATTCAACTGCCAGTAAAAAATCTCATTGACAATTTAGGTTGTCATTTGTAGAATGAGACTCTGAATTTTATTTCCTTTCCTCTAAATCATAAAATAATGCACATATATCTTCTTTGTAAGTAGCACAGTATAAACATGATACTTTACCACGATTAATTAAGGTTTATTTTACCAAGATTAAGTATAGACTTGGGGCATGCTGTACAAATTTCTAAAATGTCTGTAATTTCTGTCCATAGAGATTGTCATGATAAAAAGACTCTTAGTTCCTAGAGCTGTTCCTGCTGCTGCTCAGTTACTTTCATAAATTCATTACCTATAAAATGAGGATAATATTGCCCATCTATCATCTGTCTCCCAAATTCTTATGATAAGAAAGATGAAAGTCTCTTATAAACTGTTCTGTGCTCTGCTGATTTGAAGTACTGCTATCCACATTTTCAGTCTCTCATCTATGAAGTGGTAAAAGACAGATTTTTTAACTAAACCCTGTAAGAAGTAGGTATAGGATAGACTGGAGTTCTCAGCCTTTTGTTCTTTGGACCTCTGTGTCAGTTGGAATCCAACTGGAGACAGAAATCACAAAGTAATTTGAACAGGGAAGGGTTAATATAGAGACAGAGTAACTGAGAATTGGAGTAGCAGGAGGCTGGCTTTTAATAGGCAAAGTAAACTCTAAAGAAGACAGGAATAGCAGGTAGAGGGGTAGCCTATCCAGGACACTCAGGGAGGAGCTCATTTCCTCCCAGGGTTGAGACCCAGACCTCCTTTGTGGCTCGCTGGATGGAAGAGAAGAATACTGAGGTTCTGTGCCCATGGGTCTTTCTGAAAATCTGCCCTATCAAGTGCTAGAAGAATCTGTCCATAGTAGGGTACTCTGCTTCAGGTGGAACTCACTGCAAAGCTATCAGAGGAGGTACCATAGAGTTTGTCTTAAGAAGAAATGCCTAGCCAGTGGCACTCACTCAGTTATGAAACCACCTAAGTGGAGAGGGAGGTATGCTGCAGGAAGCTTTCTCTGCTGTTGACACTTATCTGTGAAGTTGTTTTGAGAGGATGCGCCAGCAGAAGCTTTGCACAGGGTAATTCACTGCTAAGCTTCTAGGGGCGCCAGGAAAGCAGCCCAAGGGGAGGTGCCTGAATGGGGGCATTCCACTAGAAACTGCCAAAATAACGTTGAAATAGTTGTTTTGGTTAAAATATATGAAGAAAATCTTCCCTCACATAGATAAGATAGATAGAAAAACCAGTTGCTGTCAAGTTGATTCTGACTCTTGGTAATCCCATGTGTGTCAGAATAGAACTGCTCCATGGGGTTTTTAATGGAAACTGGAAGTAGATTGCCAGGCTTTCCAAGATACCTCTAGGTGGACTTGAACCACCAACCTTTAGGTTAGTAGCTGAGCACATTAACTGTTTGTACCACCTAGGGACTTTCGGTAGAAAAAAGAGGTATATTTTAGTAGCCTTTTCATATAATTGTGGATTCTTTCCCACATAGCAAAACTCAATGAGTGGTAGTTTCTTACAGGTGAGTTGTAATGAGGAATTAGTACTGTATCAGTTACTTTTCGTACTCTTATATTAAAATCCATTAGTCTTTCTTTTACTTTGAACAGACCTTCTTCATGCAAGATTTTATAATATCATGCTTTGGCCATTTAGAAAATAGTGGTTTTACTGAGTTTTGCAGGTCTTGATCCAAATGTTGATTCCAAAACCAACCAAACTCACTGCCATTGAGTCAGAGCTGACTCATAGCAACCCATCCTTGGATTTCTGAGACAGTGTCACTACAGAAGTAGATTGCCCAGCTTTCCTTCCAAGGAGTGGCTGGTGAGTTTGAACCACAAGCCTTCTGGTTAGCACTCAGATGCCTTAGGCACAACACCATATAAGATCAAAAGAGCATACTCATGAGTATTACCATCAATCTCCTCAGAAAAGTCTTTAGATACTAGAAAATGATCAAGCTCTTAGCAGAGAGAAACCTTCCAAAATTCTCATTTTTGCCCAAGAACTTGGCAAGGAATACTGTTGTTTTCCTGGAAGTTACCCAAACATGAATAACCATCATGTCCTTTTTTCAAATAAAAATGGTGTTCCTTGAAAAAAACGCAGCTAGTTCAGCTTATAGTTCAAATGGCTGCAAAGTACTTTTCCTTGAGACAACCATTCTACTTAAGAGTGCAGCAGAAGTGCTTTATTCATACTTCCCATTTCTCTCAGAATGTTAAAAAGGTACATAGTTAGGGGTTGAGATTTAGTTAATTACTTTTACTGTCATTAACAACATTCTTCATTGGAACTTTTTTTAAAAATATGAATACATAATGGTGCCTAGTAGGAGTTTTGTGCCATCACTTTGACTCATCCCAAGATGCCAAAAGTTTTACTATTGCTTTTGTCCCTTCAGTGTAATTGTTAACACAGAGGAAGAGACAAGTAAGGCTTATGAGTCAGATCCGACTCCATGGCAGTGAGAGAGTTATTATTAAAGTAGTTCTGGCCTCGCAGAGTCCTAGAAAGGATCTATGGACTGCACTTTCAGAGCAGCTGAAATAGACATACTAGTTGGAAGTATGAGCAAGTACTGAGTGGCTATTAGCAAAAATGGCTGGTTTTTGCCTCAGAATTTACCACGTTGACCACATTGGCCATTGTTCCACTGCAGCAACCTATAGTGAATTTATTATAACATTGTTAACACAAGGTACTGTTTTTTAATGGACTTCTTTTTTCTAGGAGAAGAGATCAACTTTGGGAAACTTATCACAAGACCTACATCAGAAGGAACAACTCTAAGGGTTGAAGACCTTGTGAAACAGTATTTTCAAACTGCAGAGAAGGTAATTTCTTAGTTGTAGTTCACACTTTAACAGTGGCTGTCTTATGACAACAGATTTTAATTTACATTTAATTGATTGTGTAAACAAAATGAATTCTTATGAATGGTTCTATGAAGCAAATAAGGTGACAATTACATTCATTTATAGTTGTTACGCATTGAGAAGAATTAGTGCTTAATTAAGGTTTGCTATGAACATTGTTGTTATTGTGACTATTTTGTTGATGTTGCTATCTTCTTTATTTTTATCTCTATAAAAATCTGAATCCAGGATTTAATGTTCTCTTATCTGGATATAATTTTAGGATTCTGGATATAATTTTAGGATTTCTTTGCTAATACAGCCACTTGATGGTGAAACCATTTGCATTTACTGTCATGAATTTGTAACACTCTGAAGTCTTCTGGTTGTATTAGTTTCCTATTGTTGCTATAACAAATGACTTCAAAGTTAGTGGCTTAAAACAACACAAATTTATTATTACAGTTCTGTAGGTTGGAAGTCTGACACAGGTCTCATTAGACTAAAATCAAAATGTTAGCAGGGCTGTTTTCCTTTCAGGAGGCTCTAGTAGAAAATGCATTTCCTTTTCCTTTTCTTTTTGAGCTTATAGAGGATACCCACATTTCTTGGCTCATGGCCTCCTTCATCCATCTTCAAAGCCAGCGAAGTTGTACCTCTCTATCCGTTTCTTCACAGTCACGTCTCCCTCTGGATTTTCTCTTTGACTTCCTCTTGCGTACTGATAGTCCCTGTTCTTATTTTATGGTCAGTTGATTAGCAACTTTAATTCCTTCTGCAGCTTTAATTCTCCTTTGCCATGTACCATACTCATGTTGTTGTTAGATGCCATTGAATTGATTCCAGGTCATAGCAACCCTGTGTCCAGCAAAACAATGCACTGCTTGGTCCCACACCATCCTCACAATTGTTGCTCTCTTTGAACCCATTATTACAGCCACTGTGTCAGTCCATCACATTGAAGGGTTCCTCTTTTTCACTGACCTTCCAGTTTGCCAGGCATGATGTCCTTCTCCAGGGACTGGTCCTTCCTGATAACATGTCCAAAGTACGTAAGGGAAAGTCTTGCTATCCTTGTTTCTAAGGAACATTTCTGGCTGTACTTCTTCTAAGGCAGATTTATTCATTCTTCTGGCAGCTCATGGTATATTCAGTGTTCTTCACCAACACCATAATTCAAAGTTACCAATCCTTCTTTGGTCTTCCTTATTCATTGTCCAACTTTTGCATGCATATGTGATGATTAAAAATGTCATGGCTTGGATCAGGTGCATCCTTGTCCTCAAAATGACTTTGTTTTTGAACACTTTAAGGACTTCTTTTGCAACATATTTGCCCAGTGTAATACGTTGTATGATTTCTTAACTACTGCTTCCATGGGCATTGATTGTGGATTCAGGTAAAATTAAATACATGACAACTTTAATCTTTTTCCATTTATTGTGATGTTGCTTATTGGTCCAATTGTAAGGATTTTTGTTTTCTTTGTGTTAAGATGTAATCCATACTGAACGCTATAGTGCTTGATCTTCATCAGTTAGTGCTTCAAGTCAGCAGGCAAGGTTGTGTCAACTGCATGTCACAGGTTGTTAATGAGTCTTCCTCCAAGTCTGACGCTGCATGCCACTTCATATAGTACAGCTTCTCAGATTATTCATAGGTCTTGGAAATTAGGATGTGAACATCTTTAGGGGCCAGTATTTTTCATAAGGGGCCAAATAAAAATGTCAAGGGCACCATCTTTACAGGGCTAAATAGAAACTTAACCTAGTTTCTAGTAATCATTAGTTGCCATTTCTAGTCAGTAGCCACTTGGGCCTCTGCATTTTCATTTGTTCTTCACTCTCCTGCCTTATCTTGTTTTTATTGGCCCTTAATATTTAGTGGTAGATTTAATTACTATCCACTAAATTATCATTATTCCCTTCAATTGGAAAAAAATTTACTTTTTTCTTGATGATATTATCCTGTAATTTTCCTTGTTCATGTGTAACTATTTTTTAAGGAATAGGTAATATTTTCTACATGGTGGTTTGTGTCTTTCTTCTAGAATGTGCAGCTCTCACTCCTAACAGAAAGGGGAATGGGTGAAGCAGTACAAGAATTTGTGGATAAGGAAGAGAAAGATGCCATAGAAGAATTAGTGAAATACCAGTTGGAAAAAACACAGCGATTTCTTAAAGAACGCCATATCGATGCCACAGAAGACAAAATTGATGAAGAGGTAGGTAATAATTTGGGGGTGGATTGTATTTTGATAGTCTGTCCGTAAGCATTGCTCTGCATTTCTTTCTGAAGAAACCTTATTTAACCTCTCTGATTTGTTTAGTTTCTTTGTCTGTAAAATTAGGATAACAAAATGAGGATTAAATTAGAAAACATCTAGAAAAGTCTGGTAGTTGTATTCCACATAGGTAGTATCTTCTCTTGAAGATCCTAAAAGTGCCTTAAAATGAACCTGTTAGGATGAAAAGTTCTCTCATTTTGAGTTTTTATTAGGTTTTGATTGATATTTTGTGTTTAATCTAGAATATGCATTTTTTTAATAATAAGCATAAAAGCAGTAGAAGAGTCACACAGGGCAAACTCCAGATCTTGGTATGTAGAAATGTTAAATGTTTGCATGTCAAATTCTTAACAAAAAAAATTTAAAAAGGTATTGATATATACAAAGTATAATAAATATGGATAGAAAAAGCATTAATATTCTTAACAATTAAAGAGTCCATAGTAGTCTTAAGAAAACACTAAACATTTAAATAGGATAATGAATAAAGAGCATGAATAGGTGGTTCACAAAAGAAAGAAAAGTGGCTATTAAGTATTTGAGAATGGTATTTAGCCTGCAGTAATGAAAGAAACTGAAATATATTTTGTCAAATTGGCAGCAATTTGAAAAAAAAAAAGTTGGTATACCACTAGTAGGCTTACTAAAAAGCAGTTTGGCGATGTCTGTCAAGAGGCTTAAAATTTTACTCTTTAGCTCTGCCTTGGGGAATTACCATAAAGGAATAGTGAGATACAGATTTGTGTATAGGATAACTCATCTTATTGTTGTCCACAGTCAGGGGAATGGGAAATTTTTTAGTAAAATAAATGTTGGCACATACACAATATAGAATGCTATGCAGCCATTAAAAATGATACCTTTGAAAAACATGGAAAAATATTTCCAATATAATATTAAATGGGAAAAGAATTCCAAAGATGCAGCACTATACACAGTATGATTCCAATTATCTTAATTGTTTAATATGTTTGTGTGTGTGTGTGTGTGTGTGTTTATAGAAAAATGGAAGAAAATATTCTAAGCATATCATCAATGGTTATGTTAATTTTTTGGTGCTTTTCATATTCCTTCTAAGCAGAAGAACAAAACATTATTCTAAAACTTTACTCTGTTTGACTTTCATTTTAGTGCTTTTGGTTAGTTAACATGGCTCTCTTGAATCCTTATGGTGTCACAATGAGTATTATTCAGTGTCAGGTACCCTATTCTCTGCAAATAATGCTCACCTTATACACATTTGCAAACCGGGCAACCCTCCCACTTGTTAAATGCACTATACTACTATTTTTTCACACATTACCGATTTCAATATTTTTTTCTGTCCAGTGGATTTAATGTTACCAGGATAAAATTGATGTCATGGAAACTTCATTTAAGGTAGCTATTTTCCTGAACTAAGTGCAAATAATAGTGGACTGAATCCGCTTATGATGGAAATAGGATGCCATGTTGAAACCAAAGAATAAGAATACATGAAGAGCTATAATTTAATAAGTAAGAAATGATCCTAGGTCTAAAACTGTAAGAACAACATATTAACATTTTATGGCTTCTATAAATCTTATACTGAAACATAATTTTTGATAATCAATGTCTTTGAAGTAAACAAATAAGTCAGTAGAAGAAATCGTGTTTTCATCTTAAAATAGGCCATTTTAGTTCATTCATTATCATCATCATCACCATCTGATGTCTAGAACCCTCCTTCCAAGTCCAATCCTTCATCATTGTCATCATTGAAATATCTCAGAGCTGTCTGGATGCACTCTTTTGTGACTTCTGAACAGATGTCATCATCACTGCCTGTGGTATTTTCATCTTCGTCAATCCCAGGCTTTCTGTAGCTATTGTGGATGGTTTCTGGGGTTATTTTCTCCCAAGCAGAAGCCACCCACTTGAAGACTTCTGTAAACATCTCTTGCGTCAGTCATCTTGATGGTGTGAACTCATGAATCCCAGACTACATCCATTCATCTCACTCTCTTCTCACAAGATTCTTGAACGAGTGGTTGACTGCTGTATCTAGTGGCTGCAGCTTTCAAGTAAGGCCACCAGGTATGACTGTATGTATATGTGCCCCAGTTGAGTTAATGTAATTTTGAACACTTTTTCTCTATAAGCAGCCGTACCACTAAAAATTAGTAAAGACTTCTTTGAAAAGAATCTGCTCTGTCTGGCCCTATAATATTTATCTACTCATACTTTCATAACATCATAGTCTGTCCATCCCTTCTTATTACAGTTTTTCATGGGGCATGGTAACACTCTTGAAAATCACCATCTGCTTTAGTTCACCCCACTTGTAGTGCAACCAAGGACTACAGTGAAGCAAGCCCTCTCATGCTCAGTGGTTACAATGGCATAGTTTTTGTATCGTAAGCGGCTATAGTCCTAGTGGCCTAAATGTTGGAAGACATTGGAACTCCATCCATATTAGTTATACCATTGCTGAAATACAGAGTTCATAGGTTTCTTTGGTTGACCATATTTTGTTGCTGGAAGTTGCTTGCCTACAGTGGTTCTCATCCTCCTGGAAAGGTCTTTTCTTTTCATGAATTAGAAATCCAGTTGAAATCTGCCTTCAAAACTGAGGTTCCTCTTTTATTTGCCAGAACCTTTGCTTTGATCTGAATTGCTACAGTAGAGGCAGCTTGATTGTATTCGTTGGAGAAATAACCCATTCTTCCAAGTTGTTCTCCAACTCTGGCCATTTCACTTTGGGCCCACGATGTAAGTGTTTTCTCAGCTTCAGTTTCTCCAGCTCCTTTTTCTCCTTTCTCCATTTGTGAATAGTTGACGCTCCAACCTCGAACTCTCTCACTGCCACACTGTTGCTTGTTTTTTCCACCCTCACAATTTTTTTCACCCTCACAATTGACTTTCAATTTGAAGTCAGCTATGTAGGACTTGGGTTTAACTCCTGACATGATCCTAAGAGTTCTAAGATACAGATTTATAAACTGAAAAATATGCTCTTACTTAACATAGCTTAATGGTTTCACTTAAGATGATAAGATTTTTGCTTTCAACTGTTGAGCCAAGAGCAAAGGCATTTCAGTTTTGCTTTGTTTACTCCTCCAGTTAAAAGCCAGAGTCAGAAGATGTCTTTGTTAATTAACTATGTCAATGCAGATTGAATCAAGAATCCTATTGATAACTACTTAATGTCATTTATGCTAGTGCAGGTTTTACTTTATATATTTCCAAATGATAGCACATGATTTATGGACAGATTTCAGTAGGTTTTAGCTTCCAATTGATGATGCAAAAGTGACAGGGATATAACAAACATTAATCTGTGGGTGGATACATAGGTGATGGTGGTGGTGGTGTTAGGTGCCGTCGAGTCAGCTCCGACTCATAGCAACCCTGTGTACAACAGAACGAAACATTGCCAGGTCCTGCCTGCACGAGCCTCACAGTCCTTGCTATACCTGAGCCCATCGTTGCAGCCACTGTGTCAATCCATCTTGTTGACGGCCTTTCCCTTTTTCACTGACCTTCCGCTTTACCCAAGCATGATATTCTTCTCCAAGGAATGGTCTTTTCTGACAGCATGACAAAAGTAGGTGAGACAAAGTCTGGTCATTCTCACTTCCAAGGAGCATTCCAGCTCCACTTCTTCCTCCAGGACAGATCTGTTAGTTCTTTTGCCATTCTTTGGTAATTTCAGTTGTTGTTGTTGTTGTTATGTACTGTCGAGTTGGACCCGACTCATAGTGACCCCTCCTTGGGTTTCCGAGGGAGTATCACTACGGAAGTAGATTGCCCCATCTTCCTTCCGAGGAGTGGCTGGTGGGTTTGAACCGCCAGCCTTCTGGTTAGCAGTCAAGTGCCTTAGGCTTTGCCAACACCACAACTCAAATGCATGAGCTCGTCTTCATTCTTCTTTATTCATTGTCCAGCTTTTACATGCATACAAGGTGATTGAAAAATACTGTGGCTTGGGTTAGGTGCACCTCAGTCTTCAAAGAGATATCCTTGCACTTTGGCACTTTAAAAGAAGTCTTTTGCAGCAGATTTGTCCAGTGCAGTACATCATCCAATTTCTTGACTGCTGCTTCCACTGGTATTGATTGTGGATCCAAGTAATATGAAGTCTTTGACAACTTCAGTCTTTCCTCCATTTATCATGATGCTGCTTATTGGACCATTTGTGAGGATTTTTGTTTTATGTTGAGGTGTAATCCATAGTGCAAACTGTAGTCTTTAATCTTTGTCAGTAAGTGCTTCAAGTCATCTTCACTTTCAGCAAGCAAGTGTGTGTGTGTGTGTGTGTGTGTGTGTGTGTGTCTGTCTGTCTGTCTGTCTAGAAGTATGGGCTCTGGACCATAACTGCCTGTGTTCAAAATCAAAAACCTTACTAGCCGTATGACAATCAGTTAATTGCTCGGTACCTCGGTTTCCTCAGCTGTAAAAAGGGATATCAAAGGACCTTCCTTCCAGGTTGTTTGTTGTAAGGATTAAAAGCATTAATATACGTAAAGTCTACAACATTATGCCTATTATATGGTGTTTGTTAAGTAAGTATTACTAGTATTTTTACTCTGATGCTCATTTCTCCCCTTCTGCGAAGATTTAACTCTTTTGGTATTACACACCACCTAGCGTGTGGTGACTAAGGCGTTTGACTGCTAACCAGAAGATTGGTAGTTCAAATCCACCAACCACTTGGTGGAAGGAAGATGAGGCAATCTACTTCTATAGATTTGAAACCCAAAGAGAGTCAGTCACTCTTTGAGAATCGACTCCGTGGCAGTGAGTTTGGTTTTGGTTTGGAGAGCATTATCAGTGAGATCCTAGGTGGCACAGTTAAGCACTCAGCTACTTACTAAAAGTTTGGTGGTTTGAACCCATCCAGAAGAAGGACCTAGCAATTTGCTTCCAAAAGGTCACAGCCATTGCAAATCCTGTGGAATATAGTTCAACTCTGAAACACATGGGTTTCCATTAGTCAGAATTGAGTCAATGGCAACTGGTTTTGGTTTAAAGCACTATTACGTACTATGTAATCTTTTAAAAAACTATTCCTGCAGTTTCCCCCACCTACTGAATCATAACAAGCATGCTGTTATTTCTCCCAGCTTAAAAAACAAAAAATCAAAACTCTTGATCTCACTTTTTCCCTTAGTTATTACTATATTTCTTTGTTCTCCTTTATACCAGAATTGCTCCAAAGACTTCTCTATATTGGCTGCTCCTAATTCTTCTCTCTTCTTTGTCTCTTAAACTGATGCCTTCAGGCTTTTGACTTTGTTATTCTAGGGAAGCTATTCTTGTTCAAGTCCTCAGTGACCTTCATTGCTAACTACAGTGTTGGTTCTATTTTAAATCTAACTTGACTTCTTCTTGAATCATTTTTCCATTGGCTTCCAGGACTCCATACTCTTGGAGGTTTCTTCTTACACCTACTCTCAATCTCTGTTGTTGATCCTTCTCATCTCTTCATCCTCATAAGTTGGAGTCCCCAGAACTCAGTCCTTGGACCTCTTCTTCATCTACACATCACGCTTGTAACCTCACTCAGTCTCCTGACTTAAACACTATCTGTTCACTGATGACTTTCAGAGGTCTAACCCAGACCTCGCCTCTGAACTACTAGACATTCGCACTTGGATGTCTAGTAGACATCTTAAACTTTTCACATGTTCCACTCTGAACTTATAATCCCTGCTCCCTGTCCATAAACCTGCTCTACTTAGTAGAAGCCTCATTCTTTCCTCGGAGGAACAACTTCAGAGCCTTCCTAGACTCCTTTCTGTCACCTGTATCCTGACTGTCAGAATATAGTAAACCTGTGAAAAGCCAGAACCTATGTAAGGCAGAAACCCATCAGAGAAGAAAGATTCAAATATTTTTACTAAAAGGAAGGGCAGAAAAGTGGTAAGGTTGCATCTTGTCAAAGACGTCAAACTTGCGAGACCTGGAAAAACAACGTGGTCCTGTTGAGTCCCAGCTCTCACAAGTTTCACTGTAGATACAGAATGTGACTTACATCTCACCACCTTCATCACTACCGGATGATTCAAGCCGGCGTCATCTCAATGAGATTATTTCAAATAGCCTCTTAGCTGGTCTCCCTGCTTCAACTCTTGTCCTTCCTCTTTCCCCATTCTAGGCTCAATAATCCTAGCAAATTTCTGATCATTCTTGCTGTTTTTTTGTATTTTGAAAAAAAAAAAAAAAAAAGCTCTTACAGCCATCTGGCTGCAAGATGGGTAGGAGGCTGTCTGAAATGATACCTGAAGTAGTGGGCCCTGAAGATCTATTTTTATCAACTGCTCCATTATTTCCCTACCTTCATATCTGCCCTGGGGTCTGTGCTGTTTCCAAACACACTAGCCTGCATCTGCCCCAGGGTCTTTGTGCATGTTCTTCCCTTTGAGTGGAATAATCTGTCCCTAGTTGTTTGCATGATACATTCCCTACTTCTTAAAGCCTTTGCTTATATTTACTTTCTGATTGAGCCCTCTCCTGATGATCCTGTTAAGATGCAACCTCCCTCTGCATATTCTGTCCTTCTTCCTGCTTTTTCTCTGAGCACTTAGCACCTTCTACAAAGATTTCACAAGTTCTAAGGAGCTCTGGTAGCATAGTGCCTAAGGCACTTGACTGCTAACTGGAAGGCTGGAGATTCAAACCCACCAGTCACTCCTGGGAAGGAAGGTTGGACAATCTACTTCTGTAGTGACACTGCCTCAGAAACCCAAGGAGGGGTCGCTATGAGTCAGTCCGACTTGGCGGCACATAACAACAACAATATTTGAAAGGGCTTGAAAACCTCCATTGACCTTACTCACAAGGCTGTTATATAAAGGCAAAAGATACAGCACAGCAAGAAACACAGTGTAGACAAGTATTGGGGATCTGAAAGACATCTAGGCATAGGCTGCCCAGATCTGTGTCAGGAGATGCCTTCTGGAGAGGTCAAGGCAGAAGATCCCAGGTGGTCTTTCATGCACCTCTGGTCCCATAATCAAGACCTGCTGTCTAACAAGTTAGGCAGGTTGAAAACTATCTGCAAGAAAAAAGCTGGTTCTGAGGCTACCAGAGACTTCCAGCTCAACCCTGTTGTTGTTCTTGTTAGTTGCCAAGAGTAGATTCCAAGTCATGGGAACCCCGTAGGACAGAGTAGAACAGCTCCATAGGGTTTCCAAGGCTGTGATCTTTCAGAAGCTGATCTTCAGGACTGTCCGAGGCACCTCTGACTGGGTTCAAAGCACCAAGCTTTCCGTTAGTAGGTGGGATCTTAACGTTGCCTTCAGGGACTCCGTTAGTGCTGTAGGTGGTATATAAAGCACCAAAAGTGCTGAGTGCTAAGTCTTCGTGGACTTCTTCCTTAAACCACTTTTGGCTAATAGTCAAGTGCTGTAAATCTTTACAAAAGCAGACGGCCTCATCTATCTCCTGCAGAGGAGCTGGTGGGTTTGAACCAGCCTTTTGGTTCACAGCTGAGCACTTTAACCACTGTGCTACCAGGGCTCCCCTTAAGTACCAGTACATGCTTATATTACTTAAACAAACTAACAGACAAGCAAAGGCATTAGCTTGTCCACCACCCAGGGACCTCAAGCTTGACCTTATACCCATAAAATTAATTATAATATGCTTAGTCAGTTTACTGCTACTTCCCTCTGGATTATAAACTCCATGAAGGCAGATTTTTTTTTTTTTTAACTTTATTCATTACTGTATTCTCAGTACCTACCGTAGTGCCTGGCAAAGAGTAGGTGCTCAGTAAGTATTTCCTGATGACATTATTGCATAAATGGTATTTATCTCACCAACTCCATAACTCTGTCATAAGAGCTGTGTGAGCAGGAACCATTAAAGAAGGAACCTCTTGTATCCCTCACAGTCCCTGGACCATGGTTAGCAAACAGTAACTATTCAATATATGGCAGTTGATAAAAATAGATCTTCAGGGCCCACTACTTCAGGTATCATTTCAGACAGCCTCCTACCCGTCTTGCAGCCAGATGGCAAAGAGGGTTTTGAACAATGTAATAAATATTTCAGGCTTCTTAAAGGAGAGTGGATTTTGCTTTTAACTATTTTACTGAAGTAGAACGCTCCAGGCATGTTGGACTTTTTTTTCTTTCCCCCTTTACTGTCTGACAGACTATTTTTCAGTGACAGAACATTTTGGCAGTAGGTGATATCATTTTGCTCAGGGCCAGTCTGTTTCTATTTTCTAGAGTACATTTCTAAAAATTTAATGCAAGTTACTGGGAAAATTTGATTTCTCTTTCCATCTCTTATGAGCTGAAACTGTATTTAAATTTTCCAGATTTTACGTTATAATGGAAAGCGTTTTATAATCAGTTGTCTCTCTTATTTTATATTTACGTAACTGGAATAAGCGACATATTTGTGATTTGCTCTTTTATGATATAGGTACGTTGTTTCAGAGAAAGCAGACAAAGAAATTCTAATGAAGAAGATGATGAAGTTCGAGAGGTGATTTTCCTATTGTAAACTCTATGTGTATATGCCTTAAGTTTTTAAATTAGAATAATTTTTAAAATTAGAATAAATAATAGATTTGTTTAGAGCAGTCACTTCACCTAGATTTGATGGGTGGGTATGGGCAGGGGTTGTTTAAGGATGAGGGATTGTTGTTCAGCCTACCGATACTCTGCTTGCCCACTCTGCTTTCTTTTTCTTTTGTATATTTGTAAAACTTACTTAATGTAGTGGGAATACTTTAAAGAAGAGCCCTAATTAATCAAAATATTATATAATTATTGGAGAATCTTACCAGTATAAAATAAAATCTTACCCTCCAAAAAAAACAACCAAACTCAAACTCACTGCTTTCGAGTTGGATCCAACTCACAGTGACCCCTCCTTGGGTTTCCGAGGCAGTATCACTACGGAAGTAGATTGCCCAACCTTCCTTCCAAGGAGTGGCTGGTGGTTTTGAACCACCAGCCTTCTGGTTAGCAGTCAAATGGGTTAGGTACTGCCCCACCAGAGCTCTGTAATTAAGCTGATATTATTGGGGGGGGGGGGTGGAGAAGAAAAATGGTTAGCCGTCTTGTCATGAGTAAATAGTGGAGTTTCTATTGGCCTTTTGAAATGTTGAAATTAGCTTGAGCTCCACCATCAGTCTTTCCACTCGCTTTGTAGTTTAGGAGCTACAGGCTAGCAACCATTTACTTAGTCTGGTATTTGATGGATTCATTATTGAAATGTATTTTTATCAAGTTGTTTTTAGTATTTTATGATTTCTATCTAGTACTTAAAAATTGTTTTGTAAATTATTTATGTTGAGGTTTTATTCAGCAGACTTTTTGTACAGTGCTCTTATGAGGTAGGTATGCTGCTTTATATTAGGAATACAAATGTGAAAAAGGTATGTAACCAGTGCCACAGATAATTTTGTCTAGAAATTGTTGAAGGGAATGGGTTTTGCTGTGTATATTTTGACAAATGTGAATAAAGTATAGTCTGTGTCTACAAGGGAGTGTCAGTTTAGTAGGTGAGACAGACATTTGCATAAAGAAAATAATTAATCTTTTCATGATAGGGAAATTTCACCCTCTCTGAATTAATACAACTGTCTCACTAGCCCATTGTCATCATCCTCAATATGTCTGAACTATAGCTAACTATTAATGAGTTGGAAGAAGATGAAACACATCCCTCAAATTAACTGAAAAATCCATTGTTTCCTCTGCTATAATAAAAAAGGAATAGCCCCACCCCCTTTAAATATTAGGTTTTTTTGCCTCGTTTTAAGCATATTCCTTAGGTAAAAGTCAATACCTGAGATACTGAAAAGGAAAAGCCCCCTGTTTAAGGAGACCAGGACTCTCAATTTATTTTCTTTTCCTCTGAACTCTTCGATCCCTGTTCAGGAGTTCATCTATTATTATCACTAGATAATAGCACAACCTTTAATATCAAAAGTAATTTTAGATGCTGACACAGGAAAAAAATCAGTTGTCAGTTAATTGTTCTGTACCATCTCTATACACTGGGAGACCTCCAAGTACATTTCTAATCTACTTCATCATCTGTCCTTTTATGGTAGCTATTTGTGGGTTTTCGACTTGGTTATACAACTCACCCAATAATGCCACTTACCTAGAACTTCAGGGTCTAGAAAAGTGACATTTTAGGTATTGCCTTTTTCTTTCCTTTGTCTTATTACAAAAATTTGATGTTCTGTGCTTGAAGAAGAAAACTACCCCTCTACCCCCAAATTGTATGCCAGTCCATTAGAGTCTATGGAAAATATAGAGAATATATAGTAAAATTTGAGAAAGCCAGAACTTGTGTAAAGTGAAAACAGAGGAGGATAACTCAAATATTTATTTTCCACTAAAATGGGTGATTTAAAAGTGGTAAGACTATCCTGTCAAAGCTGGAAAACTTATGAGACCTGGAAAAACAAAGCAGTCTCATTAAGTTCTGGCCATCATAAGTTTCACTGTAGTAACTCAGTTAATAACCTTTCCCTAAAAAGAATATTGTAGGATAATCTGAATGTCAGCTTTTAAGTTTCACAGATTTCTTCCTCTTACACTATTTACACTATCTCCATAGAGTAAGATAGGATATTTTGCAACATAAACTCACATTACTAGATTACTAGCATTGGTGCCACTATTGACTATGGACCCCCCGCCCCCCAGCTTTCAGTACAGAACCAGGGGTCCCTAGGTGGCACAAGCCGTTAAGTGCTTGGCTACTAATCCAAAGATTGGCAGTTCATATCTACTCATAGATGCCTTGAAAGAAAGGCCTGACAACCTTCTCCTGAAAAATCAGCCTTTGAAAACTCCATGAGGCACAGTTTTACTCTGTCATGAGTTAGAATCAACTTGATGACATCTGTTTTAATGTGGAACTAAAAGCTACCACCATCCGCGCTAAGTTTCACATTCACCATTCCCAATGTCAAAAGTCATTTCCCAAATAAATGTATTAGGAAAAACAGAATTGATTACCTACTTGATTTTATTTATTAATGTTTTCAGAGGGGAAAGTGACATTTATTAAATTATTTTTATGGGGTATGTCTTACTTACATTATCTTAGTTCCCATTTTACAAATGAGGAGATTGAGCCCAGACTCAGGGTCACATGGTAGGGCTGGAATTTGAACTTGAATATTTCTGCCTCCAAGTGTATACTTTTCCACCTCACTACTCTGGTAGCATAGTGCCTAAGGCACTTGACTGCTCACCAGAAGGCTGGAGGTTCAAACCCACCAGCCACTCCTCGGAAGGAAGGTTGGGCAATCCTACTTCCATAGTGATACTGCCTCGGAAACCCAAGGAGGGGTCGCTATGAGTCGGGGCCGACTCGACGGCAAAACAACAACAACAACAACAACAACAACTCTGGTAGTGTAGTGCCTAAGGCACTTGACTGCTAACCAGAAGGCTGGTGGTTCAAACACACCAGCCACACCTTGGAAGGAAGGTTGGGCAGCCTACTTCTGTAGTGATACCGCCTTGGAAACCCAAGGAGGAGTCACTGTGAGTCAGGTCTGACTCAGCAACACATAACAGCAGCAATATAACCTATCAAAACTTTAGGTTATAATACTAATTCGCTGCATAGCCGGTGAAAGGCATAAGTTGTAAAACTTCTAGAACTTCATACAACACATCAGAATCACTGCTAGTTCATAAGAAGTATAGGTGTAACCACTCTACTTTCTACATGTTTTTTGATGTTAAAAGGAAGAAGACACAAATTGGGAATCACTTAACACATTTTGTTTAAATTCATCTTACAAGTTACCCTTGAAATAGAAGAGAGTTTGCCAAATGGTAAAAGTGTATGCTAAAGAGAAATGATTCCTGGTTCTTGGATAGTCTGCCTTGAATCTAATTAACCTTTTCAGTTTAACAGATTACAGAAATACTGCTTTACAATGGGTCCTATGTTTGAACCCTTTAACCTCAGTTTTTCATTATTCTTTTAAAACAGAGTAAAAGTGAGCATTTTATACAAAGAAGGTGAAGTATAGGATAAACTTCAAATGGGAGTTTTTTAGGAGAAAGTACTTTGGGTTTAGATTTTCAAACTATATTTTAAGGTTTTAGCTGGTAATCAGGGCTTCTAACGTAATTTTTAAACATGTCATATAGTATGTTACAGATTTTTTTATTCTCAGCATATCATTTAGAACTTAGTAGTGGAGTTTGAGACTTTCCCAGGCTGTCTTTCACAGCTTTGCATGTTCACTTAGCTCAGAATCTGAATCTCAGTAAACTAAAACCAGACCCACTGCCATCAAATCAATTCCAACTCATGGTGACCCTGTGGGACAAGAGTAGAATTGCTTCATAGGATTTCCAAAGCTGTAAATCTTTATGGAAGCAGATGGCCTCATCTGTCTCCTGCAGAGTAGCTGGTGGGTTTGAACCACCCAGCCTTTTGGTTCACAGCTGAGCACTTTAACTACTGTGCTATCAGGGCTCCCTTTGAGTACCAGTACATGCTTATATTACTTAAACAAACTAACAGACAAGCATAGGCATTAGCTTGTCCATTTAGAGAGGGGAAACAGTCTCTTGTTCACATAGAAAAACATTCAAGTATTGTCTTTAATTTTTAATTTCACATATAAGTAAGCAAACAAACAAACAAAAAAATTCTAACAGCCTACATAAGGAGTTGGCCAACTTCTTCTGTAAAGATCCAGATAGTAAGTATCTTAGGCTTTACAGGCTGTATGTGATCTCTGTCACATGCTCTTTTGTTTGTTTGTTTGTTTACTGATACCATTTGCCATCAAGTTGATTCTGACTCATAGTGACTTCATGTGTGTCAGAGTGGAACCTGCCCCATAGGGTTTCAGTGGCAGATTTTTCAGAAGTAGATCACCAAGTCTTTCTCCCAAGTGCCTCTAGGTGTAGATACCCACCTCCAACCTGTTGGTTAGCAGCCAGACGTGCAACTGTTTGCACCACCCAGGGACTTCTTAAACAAGTAAAGACCATTTTGGGCCTGACCTGCATGGCATTGTAAAGCCATGTTGAGACCTTCATTGTGGTAATTTATCTGTTCACTTCAGCTAAGATCACCTTTGTGAAGCTGATTACCTCCTGCTTTCCACCCACTCCGCTCCCATTCTCCCCTGCTGCCTTGTCACATCTCCTCATTTAGCCTTGTCCCCTCTTATTTCATGGTATCTCAAAGAGCTTAGGAATGCTCTGTTCTCCAATCTTAGCCCCAGAATTTAGCATTCCAAGCAAGAGAGACTGTTAGCATGGCTTTCTGGGATATAAATTTTGAGGAACTCTATAGTGCTTGAGACTCAGAGACATACATCTGTCTCTCTTCAACTCTATCCCTTAGCCAGGTCGGATATTCATAATATTCAATAGCCCTTCTTCATAAATTTTATGTTTTGGGGTTAGAGCTGTTTTCTAGTTGCACTGAAAATGGATTGTGTTTTGATTTTGTTTTCCTCGTTATGTGTTGGTTTAAGAGAATAGATAAGGGCAGAATTGTTTTATTCTGTTATTTCTAATTAGAAATCTTGACAGTCATTTTAGAGTCAGTAGAATATTTGGTTACATCTGCAATTTTTGGACATTTTCTTACCAAATTAAAAGTTATGACTTGTTTTTTTGCTTCTAAAGTTTTTTGTTCTTTCTCAGGTCTTAACTGATATACTGCTATTCTTAATTCTTTTTTATCATATGTATATATATGTATATATATATATATATACATACTTATATGTAGCCCATGCTGTTATTTATTACAAAAGTAATATTTTAGAAAAAAGTTTGTGGAAGAAAATTTGTGCTGTTCTATTATAAAGATGAAAACAAGAACACCTAAAATATCACCACCCAGAGATAACTTTTTTTGGTAAGTTTTTTCTTGCTATTTATCACGTCTTTGAACTGGTTCAGTCTGGGTCAGTTATGGCCAATGAAGTGACACTAGAATGCATCTGAATTCCAGTTAGCCTTAGGATGACCGAGACTTAAAAATTCAAGTCTATACTGGTTTTTCTTCATTGGCCATGACTGAACTGGTTTGAACTAGTTAGAAGCCCTCAAAGAGACCATGGTACATATCCTGTCATCTGCAAATTAGATATTAAATGATAGTTGATTGCCAATATTCTTTCCAATTTCAGAAGCTCTGATACTGTGAAAATTTATCTTTCTCATTGAACCCTTTTAGAAGGTCTCATTTTACAGATAGTACAGGCAGTCTCCAGGTTACGAATGTGTGACATACAGACAACTCCTACTGGGCCTTTAAATGCAGGGCTTCATACTGATTCTTTCATACCTGACAAAGCAGAAACAGGAACAGACCTGAACCAGACTAGGACAAATTACAGGTTGAAGCCCTAAGATAGGAATCTCAGAAGAAGCATAGTAAGCCTTTCAGGAGCCTGATGTATGAGTTTGGATTATTGGTAGGACTGTGGAAAGCCACACACATTCAAAGCAGTGTGGTTGGCTGCCATCTTTGAGTGGGGCTACTGCCATCATTGAGCTCATTGAGCAGGGCAGTGCTGTTTCAAAGCCTTGTTTTAATGCTTAATGTTTAAATTTGCCCTTAACTTTGTAATGATAAGGAGCTCTGGTGGCGTAGTGCCTAAGTCATTTGACTGCTAACCAGAAACTGCAGTTCAAACCCACCAGCCATTCCTTGGGAGGAAGATTGGGCAATCTACTTCTGTAGTGACACTGCCTCAGAAACCCAAGGAGGGGTCGCTATGAGTTGGATCTGACTCAACAGCAGTGAGTTTGGTTTCGTTTTATAGTGATTGAATCAACCCCTACTTATAACAAGTTCTTCATCACGATCACCTTGACTTCCTATACTTGTAGCTTTTAAATCATTGAAGAGGCTCCAGGCCTTTTCTTGCACTAAAGTGGGACTACATAAGAACTGTATGCACCTGTTCTGACTGACCTACAAATTCTTAAAGACACCATTAGGAATCAGGCTTGTTGTAACCCAGGGACTACCTGAATTGTAATTGAAAATGAGCCCTGGTGGTGCAGTGGTTAAATACTCAGCTGCTAACCAAAAGGTTGGTGGTTTGACCCACCAGCCGCTCTGCAGGGGAAAGATGAAGCAGTCTGCTTCTGTAAAGATTACAGCCTTGGAAACCCTTTGGGGCAGTTCTACTCTATCCTGTAGGGTCACTTTGAGTTGGAATCAACTCCACAGCAATGGGTTATTACAAACTGATCTGACAAATCAGAAATATAACTGGGGGGTCCTCTTTTTTACATTTTTATGGCATGATTAATGAAAAATAGTTATGTAGGCAGTTTAGCAATATTAAATGGTCATCTGAATGACTAGATGAATGATATTTAGGATGCTATGTTATCTGTTGGAGGGATCTCTGGTGGCATGGTGTACCTAAGGCATTTGACTGCTAACCAGAAGGCTGGCAGTTGAAACCCACCAGGCACTCCTCAGAAGGAAGACTGGGCAAATTCCTTCTGTAGGGTACTGCCTCAGACTAATCTATACGTTCTTGTCATCCCTCTCAGGCTATGAATAGGGCCAGAGCCCACAGATCTCAGGCAGAGAACTCTGCTTCTGCCTTTAGTGCTGATGACCTCATGAGTATGGATTTGGCAGAAGAGATAGCTGATGACTCAGATGATAGCATCCAAGCAGCATCCAACAAAGGAAGAGGCCGGGGAAGAGGTCAAAGAGGAGGAAGAGGGCAGAATTCTGCATCAAGAGGAGGGTCTCAAAGAGGAAGAGGTTAGCAATGAGTGTAACTGCATATATTCAGACTTTGCAGTTGAGTGGGAAATAGAGAATTGCATTTCTGTTGTCAGAAGTGAAATGCAGGTTTTAATTTCTAAAACAAAATCTTTTAGCAGTTTATTTTTATAATACATAAAGTGAGTTTTTAATGCAGTTCTGATATGTACCTTTTACTTAAAGAGTGGCAGCATGCACACAGTGTTTTAATTAGTTTTGTTGTAATAAGTTGCCATCAAATGGATTCCAATTTATGGTGACCCCAAGTGTGCAGAATAGAACTGCTCCATAGGTTTTTTGTTGTGGTGGTGGTTTTTAAATATTTTTATTGTGACTTGAGTGAAAACTTACAGAACAAAGTTCCATTAATGTATTTAATGTACACTGCTTATCATTGAATAGTACAAATAATAGAATCTAGTGATTTTCTAATGTGTTATATAAATATCCCTAGGAATATTCTGGTAGCATAGTGCCGAAGGCACTTGTCTACTAACCAGGAAGCTGGCAGTTCAAACCCACTAGCCACTCCTTGGAAGGAAGGTTTGGCAATCGGCTTCCGTAGTGATACTGCCTTGGGAAACCCAAGGAGGGGTCGCTATGAGTCGGGTCTGACTCGACGGCACATAACAACGACAAGAATATTCTTAAATTATTTTCAGTAAGTGTTTATCATAGGAATTAAAAGCTAGTAAAAAGGATAATGATTTAGTTAGGATAATGATTTACTTTAGGGAGAAAAATCCTTATTTTCCAGAGATGATTATTTTCATTATCCTTATATTTACAAATTTTTCCCTTAGATTTTAATTGTAAGAAGCTGAAGCAAATGTGGTCTAAGAATCATCTCTGAAAGATGATTGATCAGATGCTAGATGTTTCTTCTTACATATATCTGGCATTTTGCAACTAAACTGTTTTGACATAACTTATGTAAATTTCATTTTGGTGTTTTTCATTAAAAGAGGAAAAACCTTAGCCCTTGATGGGATTGTATATTGACTGTGCTCATTATTGTAACATTAGGCACTCGTCTGGAGACTTCTACTCGAAGCAGAAGTTCAAAGCCCACTACGTCAGCATCATCTAGAAATATGTCTATTATAGATGGTGAGTATAGGCTGCTTGTGATTATCCAGCAGTTACTGATAATTTTTCAACCTAGAAGGACATAGGAAATCTCCATTAGCAAACCTCATTGGTTGTGTTGCCATCATTGTGGAATTGCAAGGGCTGTTAGAATTGTAGATGATGTTGTTGTTGTTGTTATGTGCCGTCGAGTCAGACCCAACTCATAGCGACCCCTCCTTGGGTTTCCGAGGCAGTATCACTACGGAAGTAGATTGCCCCATCTTCCTTCCGAGGAGTGGCTGCTGGATTTGACCTCCAGCCTTCTGGTTAGCAGTCTAGTGCCTTAGCCACTATGCTACCAGAGCTCCCAGGATTATAGATAATATATCATTAAAATAAGTCTTTGCCATTCGTCAAAGAGGGTGAACCTTAACAATTATTTTTTATAATACCTTATGTTAAATGAGGAGCTCTGGTGACATAGTGCCTAAGGCATTTGACTGCTAACCAGAAGGTTGGCGGTTCAAACTTACCAGCCACTCCTTGGAAGGAAAATTGGGCAAGCTACTTCAGTAGTGATACCACCTCAGAAACCCATGGAGGGGTTGCTATGAGTTGGATCCTACTCAACAGCAGTGAGTTTGGTTTTTGGTTTTTATTTTAGATGAATTTGTTATTCCCTTTTACAGATGGATCACTCAGCTATAGAAAAGGGAGGCAATTGATCAATTTATTAACAATGATCAAGAGATAAAGAAAAGGAACTCTCTTAACATATTGTTTCTTTCTCCATGCTGCTTTCTTCAACTATTACTGTTAGTATAATGTGAACTGTATTTAAGTGGTATGTGACTTTATCAGCAATCTAAGTAAAGAAGACATAGGTTATTAAGATAAGAGATCAACGTAACTGTCCAAATATTATGACGTCTTAACCAAAACCAAACCCACTGCCATCTAATTGATTCTGACTCATAGTGAATGTAGTGTAGTGCCTAAGGCACTTGATTGCTAACCCGAAAGCTGGCAGTTCAAACCCACCAGCCACTCCTTGGAAGGAAGGTTGGGCAATCTACTTTCTTAGTGATATGCTTCGGAAACTCAAGGAGGAGTTGCTATGAGTCACATCCGACTTGACGGCACATAACAACGACAACAATAACAACAAACATAGTGAATGACATATTAAGTTGTATTAATAGAAATAGTGCATCTCAACTCCAAGGGAGTTCTCTGTCTCTCTGCTGAATTTGGCACATCACACCAAGAATGCTTTGCTTGGCAGAGTTCCGGTAAGATGGCGGAATAGGCAGAAAGACTGCACAGACCCTCTTCAACAAAGAAAAGGAGAACCAATTAACACAGATACAGAAGATAATGCTGGACCCCTGAGCCTTGAAGAGAAGGATATAGAAGTGGACTAAACTCCAACTAGCAGAAGAATTTGCACGAAAACACTAAAAAAGGAGACATACAAAGATGTGGTCTGTCAGGGATCCTGGCAACACAGACAGCTTGGATATTGCCGAGTGATAGTAGGACCTAAGAATTAACCTAAAAATCATGCCTGCTAGCCAGGGACTGCACGGAGGACTGCTCTGGTGGCTGGGGAATAAAAAGGGAAGCAGCAAAGAGGAAGGCAGGCTGAGCTGTGGACAATTGTCTGTCCGGAGGACACAGCCATTCTGATTGTTTACAAACAGCTTGACCATTTTGGATATTTAAAGGCACAGTATTCTCCCAGATTCCAGGGACTTAACAACAGGCTACACTTGCCAGTAACCCCAAGGACATTCTGGACCTGGACAACTGGAAAGTTGCGACATTCCCCTTGTTATTCTTATACCCCACACCCTCTTGGTGAGCTGAAGTGCCACCATCCCTCATACCCACCCAGTTTCTGGGCTGGGAGGAATTCCATCCCAGTCTGTGTGCAAGGACAGAGCTTGGATGCCCTGTCCCGCCCTGTTGTGATTTTGCTTTTTCTGTTTTCTATTTTTTAGTTTGTTTCTTTTTGTTTGTTTTAAAACTACTATTACTCTTACTACTTTTGTCCTTTTTATTATTATCCTTTATTCTTTCCCTCTGAAGTTCTAGTTTTCAGCTTTTTTTCTTTTCCCTATTCCTGGTTGCATTTTTTTCTTTCTTTCTCATGGTTAACCTCATTCCTTGTTTTTCTTTTGGTGTTTTTCCCATTCTTTTCTTCATTATTTTCCTTCTCTACCTTTTGTCTCTTATTGCCCTCTCCTCAGATATTTCAAGGGTTTTTGTTGTTGTTTTCTTTTTTCGGTTACTGTTCCTGTGTGATAACATGGTGTATTTTTGACCATCTGCTTTTACTTTTTTGATGATTATTCAATTGTTATTTTTGTCTAACTGAGTGGAAGACAGCAAGAGTCCCCATACGCCACAACTATACCCACCTCCTGCAGCTTCACTTACTAAGTGAGAGCCACCACTCTTTTTCCACCAATGGGCCAATGATAAACAACCACAAAGAAGAGCCTGACTCACCTTTGCCTGCTCTTCACAAACAGTTTACAGAGATCTAAATACAACAATGCCACGATGTCTTGGGGACAACAGACCATCACAGTCCACACAAAGAAGGAAAGTAAAGTGGTAGAAACAAGGGAGCAGGACACAGACCCAGAACACATCCCTGAGAAAGAAGCAGCATTGGAACTCTCTGATAAGGAATTCAAGAGAATTACATCTAGCTATCTACAAAGGATTCAGAGACAGATCAAGGAAAACACAGACAAAACCCTAGAAGAATTTTGGAAGAAAATACAAGAACAAAATTACAGAATAAATGAAAAATTAGAAATGATTCTAAATCTACAGATAGAAATCCAAAAGATTAATACTAAATTGTC